TCATCTCTAACATGACATTGGAAAATAATGGGTGAAAATAGGAGAAATTATTGTTGTTAACGCTGACTATGGTTCTTAAAAAGGGTTGGAAGCATGAAGTTTGTTTCTAAAAATTTTACCATTCCCTTAGAGTATTTTTCTCCTAGTAGCAATGCTTCTCATGCATTATTTAAATTTCAGGGCTAAGGAGAAACAGTAGTCAAAGCTTTCTGAACTGGGATGTTTTGAAATTCCAAGTATAGATTTTTAGAATGTCATTTTATAAATGGCAATTTGGGGAAATAGATGATTTAAGAACTTTGGAAATGCTAAGATTAGTATGACCTGTTTTTAAAGCTGCTTTGTTAGGTTTCTTGTTTTATTAACTGTCTTCTCTCAGTTTCCATTTCATTATTTCTTTTCTAGTTTTGGTGACTTAGTGATTTTGTCATTTTTTTACATCAACTCATGGTCTTGTTTTTACATGGTAATTGCATGTATTTAGGACCTATCAGGGGCTAATCTGGACATATTTATGTGTAAGCACATTTTACTGTAAATGTTGGTTTCTGCAGATGTTTATTTCAGTATGTAGTAAAGAGAATCTTAAAGTGTCCTACTACTTGTTAATTAAAAAAGTTATGATTAATATGAAACTGTTGTCTTACTATTTTTAGAAAAGTGTGTTCTAAATGATTAGTATTTGGATAAAAGATTTCTGGAATATAAAATAGATTGTTTTGAAATTTTCAGGTTTCAGTCTTTTTAATGGTTGAAACACTTTAGTGTTTGGGGGGCCTTTTCCTTTTGGATAATTGTGCATCTGTGGTTAAGTGATACAGCTAAAAACACAGCTTTTTAAATATTTGTCCTGTGGTGGCAGGAATTCTTACATTAATTGAACTAACACAACATGTTAACCTACTATTTCTAGCATACCAACTTAACTTTCTACACTTCCTTGAGCAGGGCTAGTTAAAAAGTAACACTTAAAAAAAAGTCACACCTCTGATATATCCAACCAAGTGTTCGAAATATTTTAAATATTTGTTCATTTTATAATCACTAAATTAATTTCTTTCTCTTCTCTTTGAACAGCTTAGCAGTATCTGCAAAAACGAATCTTTTCCTACAACCTGTTAACTGACTGGACTGATGGTAACAAAGTAATTGTGGGAGCCATGTCGGTCAAAAATTTGGCATCTGCTGAAAAATATGAATGCCATTTTTCAAGTTCCCAAATTACTTCTATACTGATTTCACTTTCCAGAAATGGAGATATGAAAAGATTCTCTGGAATGCTTGAAAGACTTAATAGAAGTACATGAAACTTAAGTTAATTTTGGAACAAAATTATACTTTTTTTGTCTTTCATGGGAGTGATATTCAGTTCTTTGCATATCTTTTAAAACTTGGGACCAGTGGAGAAGAGAATTACAGTATTTTATCAAGAAATAATAAATTCTTGACATAATCAAGAACACATTCTATGGAATTACATTTAGTGGACTAGAGTTACATAAATAGGTCGCAAAGTGATCACAAAGCGTACTATGAGTTTGTATTTCCTGGAACATAAAAGCTAATTTGGAGGACAGACACCTTGCTGAGAATATGAAAGTTAATGTAAAGTCCTTAACTATAAAGAACAGTCTTTTAAAAGATGCATTGATTTGTCTGTACATCCTTTGAAAAAGTTGATGATAAAATGTGTAGTTAATTACAGTTCAGGTTGACCCTAGGTTCTGTGGATCCTGAGGTTTTGCCATCTGAGTAACTGATTTTGAGGTTGATGGTGTACTAGTTCCTATATTAAAGTTTCTCTAGTGTTATTTATGTAATGATCTTAGTATTTTGGGTGATGGGAATGGCTTTTTTCATGGAATATGTGGTTCTATTGAAACATTTTTTTCTGGTCTATTACAACTATGAAAAAAATCTCAAAACTTTGAATTCATTTTTGTTGGATGGTTGTATTTTTTTCCCCCTGGTCTATACTGAGTCATTTTGTTTAATTGACTTGTCTGGGAAGTATGCAGATGATAGAAAAGGGAGTATAGGAGATATAGGCTCTTGTTTAACTATTCAGTTGATTTTATGTGGTAATCAAATTAACTCCACTCAGTTTCTTGTAATTTGTATAGCTGTAAGCTAGGCAGTAAAGCGCATCCCCACTGGCTTCTAGCTAAAGTAGCTAATACACTGACCGTACAGCCAGCTCCACCACTATACCCTTGCTGATCACAAAAACCTACTACTTTAAGAGAACAGATAAGTAATTATCTCAATATGTGGTTATCTACTTGAACACTTGAGGACATAGATTTCAGATCTTACTAGTCAAATTTTTAAGCTAAATTAATGTTAGTTTTGAATAGGAAGATGTTTTTTCCTCAAGTTATCCTATCCATACAGATTTCTAAATCTTTATATCTTTACCTTTTTTATTGTTACCATCTAGTCAGAAATCAGAAGGAAAAAAAAATAAAAAAAAAAATAAAAAAAGGTTTCTTCAAAAACAAAAAACAAAAAGAAATCAGAAGGAGAGGTCTTTCATTAGAAATGATCAAGAGCATTTTGTTTGGCCAGCACATATATTTGAATTTGAACACCTTTGTTGTTAGGTGCAGCATTCTTTCAGCCACTCTTATTATAACCTACACTTTTTGTTGCCCTAAAGTTACTTGAAAATGTTCTGCTCAGTTTTTTTTTCCATAATTTTATTGATAAATAGCAATGAGAGTTTCAAATCAAATTGGTAGGACAGTTTCAATAATTAACACATTGCATACATTCCTCCCAGTGGTTAATATTTTGCTCAGTTTTCATAAGCACTAATTTAAAAAATCTAGGCACTACGTATGTTTGGAACATTGTGTAATTCTATAAACATAACAATTTGAATTTTATTGGTAGCCCAGAGTGTGCTTGCAAATTCTCTTTCATGTGTTCCCACTCAGGTCAATTCCCTAGACACTTGTGGATCTTAGTGTACTACAATTTTTGAATAACAAATTACGTTACTATCTCAATACAAACCTTTTAAAAAAAAACCTTACATAACTACAGAGTGAACTGTAAAAGATTGGGTTTGTCTATTGTGACAACTGAAATTATTTTCCTGATTCACGCAATGTTTTTTAGATCTAGTAGGTCTTAGCTATAAATGACTGAGTTGTAAGGCAGGTCAAAAGCAGATTCTTGTCATGGATCTGACAAAAAAAAAAATTGGTAGATAAGTGATAACAGACTAAAGTTGGTTTCTTGCCTAAGCTGCACATTTCTATTAATTTGAAAAGATGATTTAAGAAACATGTAGCAGAGAACATGTTACAAATCTGTTTAGCTTCAGAAATAAAGCTTATACCCATTTACAGATGGTATGCTGGGGAGTAAATATTCTGGGACAGTTTCAAAATAGCTTAATTAGGGCCGGGGAAGACAGCTCAGCAGAAAGCCCTTGCCTTGCATGTGCAAGGTTCAGAGTTTGATCTCTATTACACACACACACACACACACACACACACACACACACACACACACACACAGGGTTATATCATTGGGTTGTCAATCTAAGTTGATTGTATCATGTATTTTTTTTTTTTAATTTTTTAGGGTAGGGTCTATAGGGTGTTCAGGGTCTCACTATGAGATCGGACTACTACTGATCCGCCTGTTTATAATCCCAAATGCTGGGATTATAGGTGTGTGCTATCACACCCAATCTCAATTGCTGTCTCAGAGTATTCCAGGGGCGGGGCCCGCACAGCGGGCCCTGGGATTGAACCTGTACCTGCATCATGTATTTTTTTTTTTGTGGCAGAACTGGGGATTGAGCTCAGGCCCTTGTGCTTGCCAGGGAAGCACTTAGTCCACTGAGCCATCTCCCTGGCCTCTCATATATTCTTAAGGAGTCCAAATCAATAATTTGGATTTATTTTTGAAGGAATTTTATAAAATGTGATTAACAGGCCTTAATGTAATGTAGCTAAAATGGACAATATGTAAGCCAGAGCCTTTATCTTATTATTTTAGCTTCCACACATATACACGAGTTACCCGAGTCAAATATATTTATTACAGAAAAACTGGGAAATTATAAAGCAAAAAAGTCACTCGTAACTATAATCCAGAGGATATTAACAGTAAACATTTTTATATATCTTTGTGCGTATAGTTTCGTAGAAAATCTTCAGAAAAACTAAAAATTTTTAAATTTTACTTGAATTTTAAATCTCAATACTTTTTTTTCTAAAGGCAAAAAGCCTGTTTCATTTGCAAAGCTGCCTTTTCTAAATTCTCTACAGATTAGTAAGTAGCATATTACTTAAATCATTATTAGAGAGGACTAGATGAGATGGACTCCTGAATATGGTCCAGGATGACACTGACGGTTTGCCTTGTACTCTCCTGTGGTGCCTGGCTTTCTTCCTAAAGTGCTGATCTCGACCAGTGCACTCTCGTCCTGTCTGTAGCTGGGACCTGTACTGCTAGTGGCAAACACTGAGTGTAGCTATATTTCTGTCACTGAAAGGAAGTACATTGGACACGGCCGATTGAGGTGCTGTCACAAAAAAAATAGGATGAGATGTTTGGAAAGTGGACACAGTATATCATTTCAAAAATTTAAAGGATCTAAGGAAATGAATCTAGTTATTTTAGGAAGTAAAACAGGAACAACACAAGGGACATGGCTATTTAGTGCTTGGTTTGTCAGGTGATGTTAGCAACGTGGTATGTAATAGCAGCCTTCATTTAGTGAAGTGAGTGATGGTTTAGCACACTGATGTTAGTGCCTAACAGCATGAAAAAAGGCTCACATCTGAGATTCTAAAGAACTATTCCAAAATACTTGAAAAGTTCAAATGAGACTTTGTCTAAACCTTACAAAACTAGAGCTTTCCAAGGATGCAGATTTCTCTTAAGAGGAAGGGTTTTTGGATTAACAGTCTTTGTAAATGCTACAGAGAAAATGATGCATACGTGCATATATAACTTTGCTGTATTGACAGATCTTTTTCCTGTCTGGCTTCGTGCAGCAGAAACTGCTATGTGGTTAGGTTTTCGTTTATATTACAGACCCAACCCAATGCCTAAAGTAAAGGAGTAGCAAAAGGAGGGTGGAAAAGACAGTGTTGGGCAAAGTACAGAGAAATGCTTTTTTTTTTTTTTTGGCATAGTGCTAGGGATTGAAGCCAGGGCCTCAAGCATGCTAGACAAGCTCTCTTCCAGAGTACAACTATCTTTACTCCTATTTAAGTGATTAGTTTTTACTGTGATTTAGCCTTTTGTTGCTGTATATAGCCTTGTACCTCATGTACTGTAAGTTTATTTTTTTATTTTTATTTTATTTTATTTTATTTTTTGGCGGAGCCGGGGATTGAACTCAGATCCTTGCGTTTGTGTAAGTTTATTTTTAAGAGAAACATTTTCACTTTCATTTTATATACATACTTAGTTAAAAATCAGTTAATTTCTAGGCCTGGTTCGGGTAACTGAAGAGCCTTTATAAGTAGTTTATATTGTCTAGCTCCAAGGTATGCTGCGAACACAGTCTGAAGTAGAAGGGGAAATACCATCTTTCTGAAGACAGGCTTAGCTATTCTAATCCAGTAGGTTAAGATGTTTCCTTTCTCTGGTAGCAGTGCTGATTGATACCTGTAAGAAAACATGGAAATACCTCATTAGAAAAGACTACTGTATCAACTGGCCAACCTATGTACAACATAAATTGATCCTACAAGTTTTAGGATTGAACTAGTTAAAAGCTCAAGGTAGTGCTACTCTGCTCAGTGTCTACTAATTAGTTCTGGGATTTCTTTGCACTCTTCTCCAGTTTACCTCTGGAGGGTCACACAGTAGTGTACTGGTGTATGAGTTCAACGGAGAATAACTACAATTGTATTTTTTTTTTCTTTGTATTTTACGGAAGGGTCTACAGGGCCTGGTAGTGATCCCCCTGCTTACAGTCCCCCAAGAGCTGGGAGTACAGGTGTGCGCCCCAGGGGTGGGGCCAGCATGGCAGACCTGGGGATTGAACCCCCAGCCCCTGCACCTGCTTGCAAGCACTTTAATCCGCTGAGCTAACAACTGTTTCCTAATAGGCTAAAAGCTAGACCTTTTCTGATTAAAATTTAGTGTGAATGCTCAAACTCAAAATTGTGTATAACACAGCTTTCACACTAATGCTAGGCTTAGTATTGTTTGTAGTTTTCTAGCAAGCATTCATTATGCAAATTAAGAATAGTAATTTGAACTACTTTGGAGTTCCAGCGTGATACAGTCCTAAAACTGTTTCTTTTTTCTAATTTTATTTATTTGTGTGTGTGTGTGTGGGGGGGCAACTGGTGGGCTGGGCTGGCTGGCATGTGGTGCTGGGGAATTGAACCGCGGTCCCTGTGCTTGCTAAGCTTGTTCTAAGTAGGTGCTTTAGACCACTGAGCCATCTCACCAGCCCCAAAACTGTTTCATTCTTGAGAAGTAATTCTTGAGTTTACTTACAATAAAAAGTCTTTATGCTTATAGAAAGGAAATACTCTTTTTTTTTTTTTTTTGGAATTGGGGATTGAACTCAGGTCTTTGCACTTACCAGGCAAGCGCTTATTCTATTGAGCCATCCACCCGGCCCTCTTTACGCTTATAATTGAAACAGTAACACTGTTCTAATGCCTTAAAATGGTGATTGTATGGCACATTTGCTACAGTGGGCTGTCATCACTGAAAGCTCTAAAAGGTTCTTTCTCATTGTCTTAGAAGTTGTTTTAAATTGTAAGTTTTCTATGTAGTCACACATATGAAAAGTTGTCAGTCATGATGAGAAAACAATCTTACCTGGCTGCTAGGGCACCATTCACAGGCATAGCCAAGAAAGCAGGGTACAGACCACCAAAAACTAAACCAATCAGTCCAGCCCGTGTCATAGTGCAGGTTTCACAATTCAGATCACCTAGGAAATAAATTAGTTCTGGTAACTTATGGTCATGATAAGTAAGCAATTTAAATACAAGATCCACTTATATTTACTACAGGTATCTTCAGTGCAGCAAATGCAATTCTCTAAGTCATATTTAAAGGCACAATTAAGGGCTGGGAGTAGTTGGGTGGCATAGGCACCCTGAGCCTGTACAAGGCGCTGGTTTGGCCAGTAGCATCCAAAGAAACCTAAAATTGCCAAGAAAATCTAAAAATATTTTAGGAAAAAAATTCTCTAATTGGTTCTGGCCTTGGGTATAATAATCTCAAAAGTCTACTGCTGTTAGCTTTCTGCTCTTGTTTATCAGCAAACCTGGGCTAGTATTTTTCATTCAGTTTAGTTCCTGGGCAACAGATTTTCCTTGATTGTAAAAGCTCTTTGTGTCCTGGTGATAGGAATCTAAACAAAATACTCATGATTTAATCAAATTCAAAGGAGCCCTTAACAAAATAAAATTTAGATGGACTGCCCTCCTCAGTTTCCATGGTGATATTTTTAAGTCATTAGTCATAAGTTGTGTGTGAGTGATCAGGTATAGCTGAAGCAGTATAAATGGTTAATTTTTCATAGATGCATGGAGTACTTTAAGAGATTTGCTATATAGAACCTTGTTCAATAAATTATTTTGCCCCTTTACGAAACTTCTCTAATATAAACCAAAAGGACCATAAGCTGTAGTAAGCTTTTCAAATAATATATATATATATTTTCATGGTACCAGGAATTGAACTCAGGACCTTGCGCTTGCCACGCAAGTACTTATCCTACTGAGCTATCTCCCCAGCCCTCAAATACATTTCTTAAGGTTCACAAATAGCCATTACTGAATGCTGAGGGAAAGATAACTTAGAAGTATTTAGAAATGCTGTGTACATCTTACTTGCTTGGTAAACCCTGCTAATAGTAAGTTACCGTATAACAGTGAGGCTAGCAAAATTCAGTTTTAATCCGAACACTGCAGTATAGCATTGCTATTAGATACTAAACCTTAAGTGTTAACATTGCCAATAACGTATACCAAGGTAAATGCTTTGGTGATAATGAAATAGAATTTACCTGTACTCAGAGGTAAAGTTACAAAACCTGTGTAAGAGGCATTTGCTGACAAAAGCGGGATCACTGCCTTTGGTAAGCCAGCAGCTATACGAGCCTGTGTCACATGCAGGCTGCGCCGAAAAAGGCTGTTTGCTATCAGACCACAGAAAGCCGCATTAAGTCCAACATATACTGATCCGTGTTCAAGTAGGTTCCTGAGGGTGAGAAAATACTTTAAGCTCTACTGTGTATATGTTCTACCCAATGTTATGAGATGTTAACAGGACTTTGGGAATCACTAAACATGTCTACCCTTTATACTTCCATAACATCAAAACCTTAAGTCATGTTTTTACATCCAGATTTTTATTCTGAATTTGGTCAATGTTTGTGGATACATACAGGCAAATTTTTCTAAACATGCCTTTTAAAATTTTTTAATCAATTTTTTTTTTTTTTTTTTTTTTTGTGGCTAGCTCAGCCTGCCCTGGGCATGGGGCTGGCTCGGTTTGTGGTACCCGGGATAGAACTACCGTCTCTGGCTAAGCGTGCACTTTAGTCTGCTGCGCTCTCTCACCGGCCCTAAACATGTTCTGTGTAGCAGAAAGCAGCTTCTTAAGCATCTTGAGTAGTATGGTTCTCTTCAGAATTCCTGTAATACCCAATGGTTACCTTTTAGCACAACACATTACAAGGTAGTATTACCTTATAACCATTGACTTTAATGGAGGCTTTTCCCTTTGACTATAAGCAATTTGATAATAAACATGTTTTCAACTTAGTTTTGGTAACAGCTGGCACAGACAGTTCTGTGCAGTTAATGGGTTTCCTTTTACTCTTCCTTGAGGCCTTAAGTGTCAGGATTTGGAAACGGGAAGTACTAAACTTTTTATTTTTCCTGTATTTAGGACAGGTTCTATAGGGTCTCACTATGTAGACTGGACTTGTAGCGATTCTCCTGTTTTCAGCCTCCCAAGTGCTGGGATTACAGGCTAGCGTGCCACCACGCCCAGTCTCAATCACTGACCGACTCAGTGTGCCTTGAGGGCGGGCCAGTGCACAAGCCAGGGATTGAATCCTGGCCCCTGCGCTCTGCCTAAGCAGGTGCTGTAGTCACTGAGCTATCAGGCCGGCCTGGGGAAGTACTAACATTTAAGGGATACCCTAACCAAAGTACTTTACAACACCCATTGATAAAGAATAAATTGGTGTTCTGAGACAGTAGGAGATAGAGATCTGTCAGCCTATATTTTTAGTCCCTTGTCATCTAGAATGCAGTTTACCTTATAAATCCATTACTCATGACTAGCCAAGCTACACACAGTACCCTCAAAACTTCTGTAGTTTACACTACTTTAAAAACTTCCCTACAAACTACTAGTTCAGCTTCCTATATTGTGTAAAGTGTCACTTTTCTTCCCTGTCATTTCACTGATGGAGAATCTATGACTTGCAGTACAATTGGTGCTAAATGCACAAAATTATCTTTTACCTTCCAAGTTTTGTATTACTAGTTTTTTTTTTTTTTTTTTTTTGGCGGAACCGGGGATTGGACTCAAGCCCTTGCACTTGCCAGGGAAGCACTTATTCCACTGAGCCATCTCCCTGGCCCTGACAGGTGCTTTTAATGTAGGGGTTGTGGGAATGGGAAACTTGAACATTTCCTCTAAAATACTGCATCCTCAACATGTGACATATATACTATCCTCACTGTAGTCATAGGAGCAAATGCTGAGAGTTGTTTCCCAGCCAGGTTTTAATTTCCTATGTAAAGTTAAAATTTTTAGTTAATTTCTTTGCTGCCAATATTCCAGACAGTTCTACAGAACTACAAAGAAACTCATGACTTTCTGGCACAGTGTACAAGATCAAATTTAACAAACAGCAGCGAATTAAAAGGTACATATAATTGTTCCTTAGATCAGAAAATGAATTGAGTTCAATCCCTGGTACCACAAAAAAAAGAAAAAATGAAGTTTTTGATAAAAAGTTTCATACATATAGTTTCAAGAATATATCAGCTACTAAGCGTATCTGATAATACAAGGAATGATGAGAATACAAACTTAGAACAAATTAAGAATAAGGCTAACGGGCACCATCACGTACCAGTGTTTGAGAGCTATCTCTAGATTTGGCGCAGCCCCAGCTCCCTTCCCAGTACTCTTAAACCACTGCTGGACTGAGTTGCAGCCTGCTCGCTTTTCTTCAAAGCTGCCATTATCTACTCTACTCCTTGTGTCAGTCTAGGGTCTTCCCTGTCTTGCTGGTTTGGAAACACAGAGCTTTTTGCTTTTAAGTTTGTTACTTACCTCAACAACTAACAGGGCACGTTTGTGAGTGTGTGGTAGCACAGTGACGGTTGCAGAGCTTTTAGAATCTCACCAAGTTCCTACTTGATCTTGGGTTATAGATTGTGTTGAGATGGCAAGTAATAGCAAGACAGGAATGTGCAGTTTTCACACTTGAAGGTGTGTCTACTTCCAAATGTATTTTAAGCCTTTCCTCTTTACTATCCTCTACTCACCAGGATAACTAAAGCAGTTTTCTAGTGCTCTTCTTTTTCTATCCAAGCTTAAATCTACTTTCCAAAATGAGCTGGAATGTTCATTAGAAAACTTACAGTGGCACCTTGATATTGGTCGTTAATTGGTTCCAGACATGACAGTAAACAAATTTTGTTTTGGCTGGAAAGGGTAGCAAATCAGGCAATTTACATTGACAAGTTATAGCTTGTGTTAGAATAAGTATATTTCATGTCAAAATGCATGAAGTACCAAATATGATAAAACTTGAAAGCAGTTGATTACCAACATATAACTGTAGTGGTATCACATTTTCGGAAATTATTCTTTTTTTTATATGTACTTTCCTTTGTACCATTTACTAACACTGGTTTCTCAAATATGATAAACTCTTGGCCCAGGCATGTGCCATTCTCTACTTAAGTTATGTCCCCCTGTCCCCCAGGCTGGCCCCTGTTAATCCTGAGGCTTCAGATTTCACTTGAAATGTAACCTAGTTACAAGTTTCATTGCTCCAAGCAGGTCTTGTGGAACACTTGTGGAACAATGCTATAGCTTCCTCTGTTGTCTTCAGTTATCAGAATGTGTCTGTGCTTTTCTTTCTAAGCGTCTTAAGGATCTTCAGCCATGATCCTGTTTCTGTGACATTCCCTGTCTAGCCATGGTGTTCTTTATAGGAAAGCATACTGATAGGCATTAAATGAGGAAGAAGACAAGAAAGGAACTGAGGTTTTTGTTTTGTTTTTGAGACTGGGTACTCACTATGTAGCCCAGAGTGGCCTCGAACTCTGTTTTGTCATTGAAATGGGTTCATGATTTTTACATTTTACTCCAAGCTGAATGGAAAATTTGAATCATGCAAAGGTATGCCCAAAGACCTGATCTTGCCTCAACTTCCAAAATGAGCTACGTAATGCTGGGCAGCATGTATCATCAGCAAGAAAGACACTGTCCTTTGAAATGTTGTTTAATTTAGCAAAAGCTGAGTTAAAAATACACTTGGCAAAATTATTTTTAATTAAGGTATCTTACCTGTCTGTCTCTGGAAGTTGGTTAATTTTTCTGGCTATAATATCAGTTATGTTTTCCTTGATAGTATCATCTGATTTATGATTTTCCATATTGAGCCTTAGAAAAGTAAAAATACCATTTTCAATGTTAGATCTATAGGAACAACAGTTTAAGGTTTCTGAAGACCATGTTCAATTTTGAGAGATACAGATTTGGTTCATAATCTGAAAAAAAAAAAAAAAAAGGTGCATATGTAGAATACAGAAAACCAAAGCAAACAAAGTGAAAAGCACCCCAAAAGTATTAAGTGAAACATGAAAAGCAACACTTACATGAAAAAGAGAATATTTTCATAATCCTTAAAAACAGTTCCTGATCATTGTACAGTGGCACTAAAATGATGAAACAGCATTAATACAGAACTTGTGTTGATCAGTAGAAATCATAGAGAAACTAGTATGAGAGAAAATGTTGGAAAGTGACAAAGTAGTTAATAGAACATGCACAAAAATGGAAAAAGGTCGTGAAAAGGCACTTTACAGAAAAGTCAAATAGCCAACAAATAAAAAAAAAATATGCTCAGCCTCACTACATTTGGGCCAATACAGTATCTGACAATTTCAGTTACACTACTGGCAAGTACTCAGGGTAGCCAAAACACTCAAGTGCTATCAGTAAAAGTATAAATTGTACCTAAAATGGGCCCAACTATTTTGGGAAGTAATTTGGTATTTGTTTGGGAGAACACATACTGGGCAATTTTACTTCTGGATTTACTGTGTCTAGTAGGTGTGTCCAACCTGTGGTTCAGGCTGCTAGCCCTCTTAAGATATCATAATTTTTTTTTAAAAAGGAAGTTCTGTCATCTACATAAACTAATAGATATCTATATCTATATCTATCCCAGGAAGGACAAAACCTATGAGAGTAGGGCTCAGTAAAGTTTTCCCTAAGGGGCCAAATAGTAAATATTTTAAGCTATATAGGTAACACATGGTCTTTTGAAAAAGATTAGAAATGTGAAAAATCATTCTAGGTTAGCCTTTAAAAAAACAAGGGTTAGATGGGGTGTGGCCAGAGCCCTGTCACCTGTTGATCTCAGCACTACACAGGGTGAATGTCAGTAGGGGAATTAATGAATGAATGTTAGCCCGAAGATTGCGCTCATTAGATAATGGACTTCCAGGTAACAGATAAGGAGGTCCAGGGTTTTACTGTCTTGGTTACAACATTTACCTGCCACAAGATTAGTTTACGGCACTATTTATTGGATACTTCTTTTACATATAGAAGTCATTTGGAAAATACTGAATGTGTTGAAACTACATTATTTCTAGACTTAAACTGAGCAGGTAAGTATAACCCAGGTTTAAAAACTGAGGTCTGTAGGTCTGTAGTGTTTGAGGCCATTGGCATCGACTGACAGGACTTGAAGCCTGAAGCACTGGGTTATTTCTGTTATATGGGGTGTAGAAATAATACATGTAATCAGATTCAATATAAAGTACGTGACATATCAGAAGTTCTTTTCTTAAAATGTCCTACCCAAGCATGTCACTACTTTTTGAGTCTGTGCATATTGGTGAAGTTCTGAGTTCTGTGAAATAACCATTTATTTGATGTTTCTATTAAGTTACCCTTAACTCAGTAAAAATCTAACTGCCCAGCCCCCTTGGGGATCAAACGCCCAGTTTTAGTAATAGACCCCTGTCAAAGACTGCTACCTATGCCTGTAGTTCCAGTATAAAGGAGGCTGAGGCAAGAGGCTCGCCACGAGTTCGAGGCCACGGTGGTCTACAGTTTAGGGAAGCTTCGACTACTACACACCCTTGGCGAAACCCCGTCTCAAAAAAGAAAATTTACTTCACCTTGTTCCGGAATGCCAGTACCTCGTGCGCGCCTCCCGCGTGCTCCTCCACCATGCACGGTTCAGGGCAACCTTCGCTCCTCTCGCCAGGGTGCAGCCATCTTTGGGGACACGTGACTCCCAGGTGACGCCGCTTCCGGCTGGGAACTTCCGCCCGGGAGGCTGGCGCGCTCAGTTCCGCTGCGGCGGGGCCCTGCGCTCCCGCGCCCGCCCGTAGAGGCTGTGCGGCTCTCAGGTACGGAGTGAGTGACCCTCAGGCCGACTCTCCCCCTGAAGATCTACCGAGGCACGTTGCTTCCTGATCAGTGGGACCCTCCTCCTGGCGTTGGCGCCCTGAACGCTGGCCCCAGAAAACCGGGAGCGGAGGTCTCCCCAGCGTTTTCCTGCTGCTCCTGGCTCTGCAGGGCTCTACGCGGCTGCGGTCCGGTTGTCTGGCCCAGTGTAGTCTGAGCCACCCAGCCTGCGTTGTGTTTTGCTTTGTTCGTGCTGAGGATTCTCTGGTGTCCTCCCCTCGCTGCCTAATTTCAGCGCAGGGTTGGATAAATGTGGTAAAAGACACCGTCCAGGGGGAGCCTCGGACCGTTCGCATCGCCCCAGGCTCTTCACTTTTAAAGTAAGAAGGGAGACAGTACTTTGTGAAGTTGTGACGATCCAATAAAAACGCCTCCTAACGTTGCTTTGAAAATCTTTGAACTTTATCAGGGAGAAGGAGGCATTCAAGATGAAAGACTTCACAGGCAAGGTGAATAGTATGTAATACCCCTCTTAAATTCCTTGTCTCAGGTGTTTCGCTAGTATCAAATAATCTGTAGCTAATGAGCCAGAGAAACTAAGTCCTTTAGGTTCCTAGGCACAAAATTAACCTGTTCAATGGTAGGAACGTTTGTAAGATAAATGCAGAAAAAGTTTGGAAAAACCAATTTAATTAGATGCAAACGTTTTGTGTGTGTGAATGCTTTGTTTTCTAATTAATTTTTTTCCTTTTTTTTTTTGTGTACTGGGAATTGGAACTCAGGACAGGCGCTGTGCCATTGAGCTATATTCCTGGACCCTAATTTTTATTTTTTTTAAAAAACTTTTAGTACGTTTGAAGTACAGAATAGTGGTGAGTTTGTATATGTATATAATACGTCTTAATTTTTTTTTACATTGACTCTTATACTCTGATGTTTTAATGGTTTGAAGTCAATTTTGAAATTAATGTTCCTGCTGTGCAGACTCTATCATGCCATTTGGGAGATAATTAGGTGATGAGGGCAAAGTCCTCATGAATGAGATTATTGCCTGAGAATTCTTTTGCCTGGTCCGCCAAGTAGCACACAATAAAAAGGCACTGTTACCTATGAACCAGAAAGCAGGCTTTCACCAGACATCAAGTCCCCTGATTTTGGACTTTACAGCCTCCATATTTACAGAAAGTGAGACTGTTTCTTTTTTGGGACTGTTTTTAAAATCTTGTCTGTAGTGTTTCATTACAGCAGCCCAAGTGGACTAAGCAGCTGACACAAATTTCCTATGATTTTTATATTTAAATCAGTCCTTAAAACACTGTGATTTTTTAATACTTACTTTACGGATGAGGAAGTTGAGGTACTAGCAAGGTGACTGAATCTTCAGTGTTACAGGCTGTACATTTTTCACCTATGCAGTTTTGCCTTAAGAACTTCACTTTTCTTTTTGGCAGAACTGGGGATTGAACTCGGGTCCTTGTGCTTGCCAGGCAAGTGCTTACTCCCAGCTCCCAAACCTCCCTTTTTCCACTATGGTTGAAGTAGTTTTAGCTTTTGGCTTCGGTCCAGAAGACCAAGGTTTCCCTAATTTTTCCTTTTATACTTCCTAAACAGTCAAGGACTGCTTTTCCAAAACCAAGGAAAATATCAGTTCTTTTGCCACTTTTTTTTTTTTTTTAATTATAGAAAAGATAATGTGAAGTCACTAAGGTAGAAGTCAACTTTCAGATGGTAGCAAAGGTGAATAAACATTAACCTTGCCATATTTCCCAGATTACAAATTCTTAATGAGTCACTTTTTAGACACAGCTAAGACAAGGAGAATTATTCTCTAAACTGTATTTCTCATCAATATTCACTTCCTGAATGAACTAAGATATTGGCCGCTGTGAAGACCAAAAAAAAAAGTCAATACAAATTACCACAGCTGAGATCAGGTTGTTTACTTGGACATGTGCTAATGGATAATGGAAGACAAGGTGAATCTTGTGTTACTTTAATTGCTGTGCCCATGTTTGAGTGAATAAAAGCAGCACCAGTCACACTTGGGGCTCCTCTGCCCGCCAGAGGCAAGAGCCCCGGGCTGCCTGCTGCTCTACTGTGTCTGTCTGTTTTTCTTTCATTCTTGTTCTCCTGCCCTTGGGTCAGGGTGACAAACAAGTAAGACTAGGTCCCTACAAGTGATGCCCAGGACTGGGAAAAAGACTGTAGTGAGCTAGTTTCCCATGGTTGGTGCTTGGAAAAGGGACCTGGGACAAGTGGCACAGGCCAGTCTCCTACAGTGAAGACAATATGTAAATGGCAAGAAACTAGTTAGCATGGAGTCGAGAGTGAAGAATTGCTTTATTTCCATATTTTGCTTTCTTGTGAACTTCCAACTCCAAAATTAACTTCAGACATTACTTTCCCCCTAACTTGCCCTTCTAAGTACTTAGCAACCACACCTTCAGAGCCCTCAAATTATGTGTTGATACTGTATGTTCACATTTTGAATGCTTTTTTTTGAGTGTGTGTGGTATTGGGGATTGAACTCAGGACCCTGTGTTTGCCAGGCAAGTGCTTATTCTAGTGAGCTATCTCCCCAGGCCCCTTGAATTCCTCTTCTTTTTTATTTTATTTTTTTGTTTTTGGCGAAACAACTCAGGCCCTTGTGCTTGCCAGGGAAGCGCTTATTCCACTGAGCCATCTCCCCGGCCCCGAATTCCTCTTCTAATTAAGAATTCTTTCAGGGTAAGAACCATTTATTATGTGTAATACAGTATTCGAGACACAGCAAGCATGCAGTAAGCATTCCATGACTGTTCTAAATGTATGACTGCACAGATCAGACCTGAGGTCCTAAGCCTATTTCCACATACAGTAAAGATGAAACTCAGTTTGTTTAGCATTTGTATTGAATTACTAAATATTTATTATCTGCTATATACCAGGCAAAAGGAACAGTTGTTTTTACTCTTAGCAACGCTTCAGTCCTCATCATATAAAACATACTGCAGGGCTGCCATCCATAGATTCTTCAGTCTTCAGGTATGGTGTTTTCACATGTTTTTTTATATACTGCATACTGCTGTAGACCATTAAGTAGTCCAAACTGTGTCTGAAACACTAGAGGAACTAACATTGCTTTTATTTGTGTTTGACAAAGCAGGAACCAATGAAGTAAAACCCTTCCTTTTGGTGGCAGTGGAACAGTATGATACCTAAAAAGGAAAAAGAGTTAATCATTCTTCTGGGTATATATTTTATCCAGAGTTCACTGTTTTCTCCTAAACTGATCATTGTAATTTCCATCATAGGTCTATTATGTAGACAGCAAAAAATTAAATTTAGTTATTTAGAATACCAACCCACTATTTTTATATTTGACTCTATCACATGTATTTAAAGAATAAAAAGTTTATTAACCTAAAAAAAGAAACAAGGAAAAAAGGGAATAAACAGAGAGACTTACTTGACCGCCAGGCGTCCATTTTTAGCAAAAGCCAATCCACTGGGATATACAACCCCACACACGAGGCCAACCAGTGAACTTCTCAGCACACAATTTTCCTTGCTTATATTACCTAGAAAACAAAAGGAAAATTTGACTCTCTTTAAAATTCAGCACTAACAAAGGTTCTACAATCTGAGGTACAGGATCTCAGGATAAATCCTGAGGAGATTTCACTGACCTTGTCAGACCCATAAGCTACAACTCTTGTTGCATAGGTCCTGCTTTACCTTGGTCTTAACCATCCAGCAGAAAAGTATAAAAACGAAGTATAAGAAGTAAAGCCATGCTGTTATGTTGAGCTGTAGGGGACTCAGGTCAACAATTTCTGACATTGCCAGTGAAGTGGAAGACCCAATACTATTATGGGCTACTGGACTCTTTTAGAATATTTTGCTGAGTTCATACACCTATAAGATTTAACGGAACTAAACGAAAAAAGGGGATACAGATGAATGTCCATTTTGTATCTGTGTATTCAAAATGGCTAGGATAGATATATAGTTACATTCTCTTAATGAATAGAGGAATTTGTTCTAATAGTGTTTGTAAATAGGATCTCAAGTCCGCATCTTGTACAGCAGTTAACCACTAGGAAGAATGTATGCAATGTGTTAATTATTGAAACTGTCCTACCAATTTGGTTTGAAACTGTCTCATTGCTATTTGTTTCTCAATAAAATTATGGAAAAAAAAATAAAATTCAGGGCAAGAGGTATTAAGCCTGTGTTGTGCCCCGAGCAGTTATTTGCACTGTCTTCAGCCATAGAGCAATGGCAGAATACTAGACATTCCAAGTCTATGGCACGTGACAGGCTTAATGCATCTTGTTTCGAGATGCTTTTATTATATCACACGGATAATCACTTACATGCTTGTTGTAGAAGCAATTCCATAATAACTAGCTGACAAGACACCTGGATTGTAGGTTAATACAAGTATTGGTGACTCTGTGTCAACTATGTATTAGGGACACAGTAAAACATAAAAGTTCTTTTATGGCCAGTGTGCCAGGGAAAAAAGACATTAGGCAAATTTTTACAAGATAATTATAAGTTGTACAATGCTTTGGAGGTAGTTTACAAAAAATGTACCTGGAAATTTAACCTGCTGTGAGGGAATCAGAAAGTTTTCTCAGGGAAGGGATATTTAGGCAATGATTGGAGAATAAACAGAGTACAGACTCCATTAATTACCAGTTGTACAACTTAAGGTCAGGAAATAACATTAGAAGCCCACACCATGTAAGACACTATGTTAGGCATTTAATACACAGCATCTTTTAATTTTTACAACAATCCTGGGGAGAACAGTGTCAGTCCTAATTCACAGATGAGACCACAGAGGCTGAGCGATTAAACAGCCTGCCTAGTGTGACAACACTATAGTGATGCAAAAATGAAGTAGTAGGAAGTAGTATCTAAAATCATATGTGTAGTATGCAAAACCCTTTTTCCCTGAAAATGTCTCAGTTTTGGTTGTCTATCTGTAGAAAGAGACAGTATTACTTGACCTGTCTGATAGGACTGTTGTATGGATCAAACAGAAAAAGTCTATAGGAAAGTATTTGTAAATATCAAAGCAAAAAAACCCCACAAAGGTTAGGATTAAAGTATTTTGATAACTACCTTTAGAAATAACTACATTACATGTTAATGAATTTAAATCTTACTTGAATACAAAGCATCAGTTACAAAGAACTTGTTAGCGACTATGGTAGACAAAAATGGAAGCGCCACTGCTGATGCATAGGTCTTCAAAGCATCGTATTTAACTTTGAAGCAGTATCTCAAAATGAAGTTTGCCAATATTCCAGAGCAACTAGCTGATGTTGCAAGTAGTACTGTTCCGGGTATTGTCCTAATAGGAAAAACAGTAAAATTAAATTTAACATATTATTATAATGAATATAGTCTTTCCTCAGTGGTGATCTGTTATATATGTACTCAGCATCAAATATTTCTTGAGCACTTATTTAAAATATATTTTTTCTGTACCATGGATGGGGTAATGAATGAAGCAACAGCAAGGAAAAACAAGTCCTATCCATTGAGGAAATTGTAATCGAATTGCAAGGTAGGACTTTCTTTTGGAGAATATTTAGAGTAGTTTTAAAATGGAGTTCTTTTATGGTTATAAGTATAAATATTTTTCAGTGAACCCAGGTTTTATATGGTAGCCATTTTCCAAGAATACCTTTCCTTAAATTTGTAGAAAGCCATGTAGAAAAAAGGTGTTTATATTTGGTTAGGGTGGCTACAAAATAATTTCTTACTTTGCCTAAACAAATTCAATTTGCTCATGGTTCATCAAACTTCATCCAAAGAATTACGATTCTGTTTTACTTATTTTTATTCGTGCCTAAATCCTAAGAAAATAATCTTTAAAAAAATGGCAATAGAAAGGATCTCTAAATAAAATTCTACACTGGGTATGTCTCTTACTTGTCTTCTGTAAGACGCTCAAAATGTTTTTCTAGGATTTCCAAGACCACTGGTGTTCTGAATTTTGCATTTCCTAGAGAAGGACTGGGTTGAGCATGTGTATATTTTGCTGTCTGCATGCCCTGTAAAGAAAAAATTTCACAGCTACATTATGATTGTCTTGTTATATAGATACACTTCAGGTCTTTTAGCTGTGAGTCCCTGTAAAAATAAAAAATAAAGTTAAAATGTCCAATATACAGTAGCACAGGGCAAAAAATTCCCAATTGAAAAAGAAGGGATAGAAGAATAGAAAGGAATTAGGGCAAAGCATGATTGGAGTCTGACAGGGCAAACATCGAATCTCTGGGCAAGTGGTGTTAAGATGTGGGCTCCGAAGGGCTTGGTTGGTCCCACTTCTATAGCACTGCCAGTTCCAGCCCATATGACCTCTCTCGCGGGGGCTCCGTTCACTGCTTGTGACTTTCCTCAGTAGATGAGTAGATGCTCCATATTCCTGGCATCTCCAACTTCCGAGGTGACTGCACTTTTAGCTTCACTGTCACAGCTTCATGCCTTGTCCTCTCAGGCACAGAGCGTGGTCTCCCAGACCTCCTTCTTAATTTTTTTTTTTTTGTCTTTTCTGTAATTGCTTTTTGGTTTAGGTTTTTTGATTTTGGTGCTGAAGACTAAATGCAGGGCTTCCAACTTGCTAGGCAAGCATTCTACAGCTGAGCTAAATCCCCAGCCCCTCCTTAAATTTGTATGGAAGGTTCCCTGACCACACAACTCCTACATTCCACATACTTTAAAAATCATTATACAGATAATATTGAGGTTGTTTGACATCTCAAGCAGCAGCCACGCCCCTCTGAGTCACAGCTGAAGAGGCCCTTAAGTGAATGAATAAGCCCTGTGAAACAAATCCTGAAAAGCTAATTCTCAAGGCATGCCTTGTCAAATGGGGTCTAAGGGCTCTCAAATGAAAGCTTTAGCTTTATAGTTTTATACTTTGACTCTGTGAACAGTTGGCTCTTGCTGATTCCTGAGATGCTTTCAAGTCCCAATACAAAGTATTTGGCTTTTTTTTTTTTTTTTTCCGGAACCGGGGATTGAACTCACACCCTTGTGCTTGCCAGGGAAGTGCTTATTCCATTGAGCCATCTCCTCGCCACCCCTATTTTTTTTAAATGCCAGTCTCTTCAGTAATCATACCTTTCTTAGCAGGCATTTCCTTTTTGATGAAACTGCAAACTTTTCATATGGGTTTCTTGTACCGATTTTTACTGTAGATATGGCTAAAAGCAGTCACCAGTACTCATCCCATAGCCTGAATTTTGGGTTGCTTTAAAATTTTCTTTCATCCAGTTAATTAATTGATTGCCTTTAATCTCAATCTTCTGTACTCCTGAACATCAGCAAAATGAAATTAAATTTTCTGCCAGGATGCAAAATACAAGGTTCCTATTGCAACTGCCAGTTGGAGTTCTCAGCTGAAACCTCCTGAGTCTGGCCGTTGGTGCCTGCATCCGTCAGCATTCTGGTCTTCTAAAGTCTGACAAGACTCTCCAAGAATAGTTTACATCAATCTCCAGATCTTTCCCAGTTCTTCCACAGACCAGTTCCAAAGGCTTCTAACCACATTATCAGGTGAAGTTATGGCAATACTCCCACTTCTCTGGTACCAATCTTGGTTTTACTCTCCTGTCACTGCGACAAAATAGCCAGCACACACAATTTAAAGGAAGATAGGATTACTTTGGTTTACAGTTGCAGTCCATGATTGGCTAACTTCAAGATAGATACAGGATAGGAAAGGGCTTTGGCACTAGAAAGAGGTGCTCAACCTATGGCAGGAGGAAGCGGAAAGCAAAGGGGGGAGCTGGGGAGGAGCAATACGCTTCCATGTCACTTGCCTAGAATTAACTGGTAAGTGTAATGCTCCCAGGTTCCAATCACCTTCCAAAAGCTGAGGGTCATTCTACATCTAAACCATAACAATATTAATGGCAAATAAAATCTTATAAAATTATACAGATTCAGATGAAAGAACATTAGAATCTAGTAACGTACCTAGTACTATGTCATCTGTTTTCAAATACTTTTAAGTGAATGATCTGATCAGCATTTACTTAGCTCTTATTATGTTAGAAACAGCTTTATGGGCATATAGTAACAGAATTGGAAGGATAGTGATCACCTCTCTGTTTTTACAGATGAGAAAACCCAAGTTCTGAAAGTTTGACTTACCTTAGGACTTGGTACAGAGAAGGATAACTACTGAGATACTGAGTCTTTGTTTTCAGTAGTATTCCCCAGTCTAAGAAAGTAACCAGTGCTTTACCTCTCTTTTGTCTTTCACGAAAGACATAGCTCAGTTTGGAGATTATACTGAGTTTCCTGGAGAGGTTAGAGAGAGCAAGGATTGCTTTGGAAAATGTGGTTTGGGGCTTTTGCAAGGGGAACAATACAATACAGGACCCATTTTATAAGATACTTTACAACCACCTAAAGAAGTATATACAAAGAGTGCAGGAAATCTGTTCACATACAAAAGCCCAAAGAGTCCAGCTGAGGGCCTGGATCCTAATGTTCTGCCTGAGTCCAGTGGGAAAACCCAGAACCCATAATAATGCCTTACTCAAATCCAGTTGGAGGCCTAGAGCCCACAACAATGTCTCTTGTAGGCCTCCTTCACAGATCTATGCTGGAAAGGCATCTGGTGGAGGCTTAGGAAGTCCATGAAAGTAGGATGAAGGATCTGTGCTAGCAGGCTCAGGGAACGGAACTGGTGCCAGGAAGCGACACTCAAAGTAAGATCCAGAGCTGCCTGGAGAAGTACCACAACCATCAGCAACAGTTAGGTAGGTCCTGAGCTGCATTCCCATCAGGAAAGCCAACATGAGAAGCTTTTCCAGAGGCTGAGCTGTGCACCATCTTCCCCTCCGGAGTCAGGAAGCGATGCTCAAGGTCAGGACCAGAGGTCCCCAAAAGTGAATTCTAGACATTCTAAGTGACAATGAAGTCCTGAACTCCTCCTCTGATGAGGACAATCAAGTTCATCAGGAAAGCCTGCATGACCAAGGTCCTCAAACAGAATAGCCCAAGAGAACCTGCCCACAAGAACAGCTCAGCAGCTTCTCCTAACAGCCTTTCAACAGCTTCTCCAGTTCTACCTCCTGTGCTGCTGACAACAATCCTAAGGTGGGCCTCCATCCCCAGCACCACTCTAGTTCAATTCATCTGGGTGTAGCAAGGTGCCTTGTTTATTTTTGGTCTTTTCTGATTTTACTGTTAGTTTTTCTTGATTTTTTTTTTTTTTTTTTTTTTTTTGGTGTGTGTGCATGGTACCAGGGATTGAACTCAGGACCTTGGGCTGGCCAGGCAGGTGATTATGCTACTGAGCTATATCCCCAGCCCTGAAATTTTTTTTATTTTTTAGGGGAGGTTTACTTTTTGCCTTTGGTGCTGAGGACAGAAACCTAGGGCTTCCAGGCAAGTGTTCTACTGATGAGCCAAATCCCCAGCCCTGTGGGTGTAACAAGTTGACCACCAATTAGCAATCCACTACAGAGAACAATGAGAGAAAATCAGAGATAGGCACTATTCTAATGTGGAAAGAGGGCGTAGATCATAGGTACACTGGTTAAAATATACATTTAGTTCTTTAATAGCACCTGAAGCAGAAGCAGGCCTTGGTCAGAAATGGGAATGTGGTAAACTACAGAACTTTGATTTATGGCACTGGACCATGGAGATGGAAGATTCCTGGGTTTCAAGTGCCAAGTGTGATGAGTAGACTACTGCCAACACAGAAGGTATTAAGGCAACATAAGAGATTGGCCTGTAGCATTTTACAAAAACCAGTGAGGTTCAAAAAACAACAAACAAACTGAATCTCAGGATCGTTTCTGCTGTTTTAATCTAGGTAAGTTTCTGGATCACTGTCTCCATTACTTTTCTCTTGTTTCTGGAACAAAATACCTGACACGCAAAATCAAGGAAGGAAAGGTTTATTTAGCTCAGTCTGTGGAGGTTCCAGTCCACTCAGCTGGCTCCCAGGCAGTAACACATGACTAAGGGCAGCAGTTCATGGTGGTAGAAAACAAAACAGCAAGAGCAAAAAGGGAGGATCAGGGCAGCAGACAGCAAGCCTGTCTCCCTTTTATTGCATTCAGACTGTCTGCCCCAGGGCAGGTGTGGCACTTAAACCCATAATCCCAGCACTGCATTATGAATTAATCACAAACACCTGTGCCATGACTGCATGAGGCTTTGGTGGGACACCTAGACACAAATCCTAATCGTCATTATGAAAAGTCTTAATATTTGTTTCATCTTTTGTCACTCTGGCATTATGCAGTTTAGAGTTGTGTTTAATTTCATTTAAACACAAATATGGCCATTTCTTTCAAATCCACATTTTGGATTTGATCAAATACACTGATCAAATACATCAGTAAGTGGAAGGTCTAACTGATGCAATGTTCAAAGCTTTTCATTCTGTACTTCAAATTAGCCAATAAATTGATATAAAATCTAAGGCCCTTCACAAATTACACCAATCTTCTTTCGAACAATTTTTTAAAAATTTATTTGTGTGTGTTTGTGTGTGTGTGTGGCCAGCTCAGCCCACCAGGGGGCGGGGCTGGCTGGCCTGTGGTGCTGGGGGATTGAACCGTGGTCCCTGTGCTTTGCTAAGCTTGTTCTAAGTAGGTGCTTTAGACCACTGAGCCATCTCACCAGCCCCTCGAACAATTTTTATAGTCAAGGTCATATATCAAATCTCATATTTCAAGAACCCTAAGCAAGAGGATTAAAAGTAGGTATAAGGAACATGTGCTAATAAGTGGTTCTCAGCCTCTGGTGTGAACAGGGACAGCATAACCCATTTTTTGAAATACACTTTCTTGGGCTTCCTTCTGAGATAGGAAAAGGATGAGGCCTTGATTTTGCACTTTATTAGCATGAAGGATTTTGGAGATTTAGTCCACAGATACACCTTTAACTAGTTAATGAAAGACCCATTCTTCACAACATATGCGATCACCTAGAAAGGTTTATGGATCCTTTGAACTTTACGACAGAGTTATGCAGTAACAGCCACGTTTTCTTTTCCTGCATCAATGCAGGGCTACAGTTAGGCCAGTTCAATCTTTAAATATATCTGAGGAAGATGGGGAGAAAAAGGCATAAAGCTACAAATTATATTCTGCTTTTCCCTGTCGTCCAAATGGCAAATGGAAGAGGGAATAATCAATAGCTAAAGGAGCGGCTACAAATAACCCATCTAGCATACTATGAAAGCAGATATTAACCTGACGAGCAACCAGAAAACCTGGGGCGTGGGGGGAATAAATGTGCTGCAGGGTCTCACGACGAAGCTTGGACTCTAGTGATCCTTCTGTTTTCAGCCTCCCCAGCGCTGGGATTACAAGCCTGCGGCGCGACAAGGCAGCCGGCTCCGCGCGCCTGGGGACGGGGCCAGCGCGGCGAGTGACGCCAGGAATCGAACCCGGTCCCTGAACTTGAAACAAGCATCTTGAAAAGGGAAATATGGTGCAAGTTGAGAAGGGCGTTAAAAAAAGTATAATGGAAACAAAGGCCTGCACAGAGATCTGGAAGCAAGAGAGAACAAGCTACTGGTCATCTGGAATCTAGGTCTCCTAGTTTCTGTCCGCCTTCCTCTCGCATCAAGTGGGGACTTGATTTAATTAAGCCCGGCAAGGACATGGAGCTGTTTTTAGTTGACATCTTTTACGTGCATCAGTGCATCTCAGTCGAGTTCGCCAATACGTCCAGTTTCCCGAAATCACTGTCCATACCAGCCCGCGTTTACGCCTACCTCACGCGCGTCTCCGCCCCTCCTCGGCCCGGGACCCGCATCCTTCACGTCCGCTTCAGGTTCTGTCCTGAGCGCCGCCATCTTGGAGGGTCACGTGACCCGAGGATGGGCGGGAATCCCGAAGGCCCGGGCTGGCGGCGGTGC